AACTCTTGCGGCAGTTGTGACCGCGGCTCTTCATTGCGAGCGTAAGGCAAACGCTATGGCTAATCAAGACACCACGGCAGCTGCTACGTTCAAAGCGAATAGCGAAAGCGGATCGAACAGTGATCAGGCGAAAGTGAAGGAAGGAAAAGAGAAGGCGTAGAACCGCAATCGAAAGACCCTGTCGATCTTCAACGAAACCAAGATACTTACGAACCAGGCGAAGGCGCCATGGAACTTGTCCTGAGGCATGAGGAGAAGTCGAAAACGACGGTCATATTCGCAAACTGCTGTCCGGAACTCAAATCGTCACTTAATTGTGCAATAAGCCTGGCTCTGAAATTCGCAAATTAGCAGTCGGCCGATCGATCGATTGATTAGCGACAAGCGATCGGTGAAGTGCGTTGAAGAAGAGAAGAACAATTTCTTGCACTTGACGTTGAGGACGAAGGAGGACACTTGTGACACGAGGGGGCTGCGATTCGGTGTCGGTTACGGGCGCCAACGGCGGTGGAAATGAAAGAAGTGTTCGTGCGACAGACGGGAGCGAAACAGCACGGCTTTTGCATGGCACCCGTCCGAGGATGAGCATAGGTCAGACATAAACGACGGCCATCCAGACCAGTTGCGTGACATCTACATCGGACGAATGTTCGGCCGGCTTGCCCCTTGACCTTTCGTCAAGTACGGCCGGTGAGGCGTTTCGTGGTTCACTCGTCTATTGTCCTCTTAGGTCCTCACCGTCAAGCATAGGCGATTAACCAGCCAGCAGCGGATTATGTGCTGGTGCCGACCGACAGACCGACCGACCGACCGACGAGAGATCGCAACGGCCAACACCCGTTGACGTACGCGATTCGAGCGAGAGTGGAGTGGCTTCAATTTCCGTCCGACAAACCAATTGCCTCGGTGCCTCGCGGAAGGCGGTCTTCGTCCGACAATCAACCCCGACACTCGAAGGCCGACCGTCGTAAACATCACAACTGCCACAAATGTTCAAGTTCCTAAAACGCTCATTTTAAAGCAAAAACTTTTCACTGTCGTCATTGAGCGATTTGCAGGCGACACCGGATTAGTGATGCCAGGTTTTCAGCGAATTTCTTGATTTATGGATTCGTTGCATCAATTGCGAATGATAACCGGTCACGTCACATTCACAACACTGTTTGAACGTATTCTTAGCTCAACACCGCTGCCATCAATTTTCACGGTCTTTGGTCAGCGTCGGAACATGAACCAGAGGTTACGTCACAAGTGTTATGTAACTGGTGCCCTGCCCTGCTGGAAGTGTGTTTGTTAAGCCGTTAGACAATGAGTCAGAGAGTTTCGACCTTTCGGACCGTCACACTGTTTTTTTTAACGTTTCCGATGCTGTGTCAACGTTTGAGCTTCGAGCACCTGCCCCAAGGTTATTCTTGACTGTTCCCGGGGTCTTCCACCGATCGGTTGGGAGAGTAGCAACTGTTTCGCCTTCCTTTCAAGAAGCATTCATAAAACGTGCCAAAATCAGATCATCGCAACTGGAACTTCTCAATCTGAAGAGTCATCAGCTAAACACCAAGGCTCTCTCGGATTTCTGTACTCATGACCATGTCGAGAACCGTAAGCTCAGCGATTCGTCTCGAAAAATTCATTTCAGCCGTTTGCACTCACGATCGAACTTTCACAGTCATAGCTTAAGACCCCTGACCGATGATGACCATCGGGATACGATCAACTTCAACACAGAGAGCTTGGTCTTCAGCTTAGTCTGCTCTAGTTGCAACGAGTCGGACTCGTTCACCGAGAACGCCGTTAGCCGTTCCAATTCGCCGATCGATATGCTCCTCCCACTTTCAATCACCAGTCAACAAGACCACGATGTACATGAACATCTTCAGTAGTTTTTCCGCCGCTTCTCGGTTTATATACAGAGCACAATGGACAAGAGGACCAGAAAGCAATAGGCCTCAATTCTTAAACCCGGCCAAATCAAACGCATGCAGACTAAGTAGCACCCAGCTACGTATCTTTCCAGAGACCGCTGGAGATCAGTTTCGGAAGATGGCAATAAACAAGGCCATCCGCCAACAACTGCCTACTCGTCTTCATATTTCTTACGCTGACCACTCGTCGTGCTGGCTGCGCGACAATCCCTTGACTGTCCTATCCTTGTGCAGCACAAAAAGCAGATTGGATAGAATGTTCACCTGCCGAAGGCCAGTGTCAACGCTGAAAGGTCTCGTCCACTACCAACCGATTAGCTGCAGCTGTTAACTGCTGTCGGTTGACGCATGGCCAACGCAGCCAAAGGCGCTTGGGCAAAATTTTCCAGCCGTACGCCAGAAACCCTGAGCTAGAAGTTATTCACTACCTGCAGACTACGAAATGCAGCATGCAAACGTGTATGTTACGAATAACAAGCAAACAGAGAGACGGGTGAATGGGTAAGAGCACAGACTTCTGTTTGTGCTCTCATTGACCGAGTGAAGACGTTGAAATAGCAATGGGCGGAATACGTTGCAAAGAGACCAATCATCGCTGCACAAAGGGTATACTGGACTGGGTACCAAAAGACCGCGCGTGCTCGAAGACCCAGAGATCGAAAGCAGGATGAATTGAAGGAATTCGTCACATCAACGTGGACAAGAATCGCAGAAGATTAGGGCAAAGTATTGGAGAGTCGTTCATTTAGCAGTTGAACGATATAAAAGCTGATAGTGACGACGACTGTGATGATAGTTGAAACAGGGACACATGAACAATGGACAAGTCGTCAACTCTGGAGTGATAAATGAACTTTTGGACCTGAGCATCAATAAAGGATGAAACGACAACTAAGTGGAAAAAAGATGAAGCATCAGCATTCGCTGAGGATATAATAATTACATAATTACCGGCTACTCGACCCCAAAGTGAGTTCGACATATCATTCAACTTTGCACATGCTCCGTTAGGTGGATCTTAAACTCCCTGATCTAGTTGAAAGAAGAGAACAATGTTTCAATATGACATCCATCTTGACGCACTATCCTAAACTAAGGGGTTAACGATGCTGTACTGATCTTCGCTACATTTAACCTCTTGACCACTGGCTACCTGAAATTCGTCGTGTCCATTCATCTCTAAAGATGACTGATATTTTGCTGAAAAATAGTTTTTTCACAACGGACGTCGACCTCGTGTCATGAAGTTCATCAGCAAACCGACGGGAATGTAGCCACTTAAAGTCACACTGGGAAACTTGCGTCCTTATAAGAAAATATGTTGTTTCTCTCTCTGTCTGTGTTTGCCTTTCTCACGCATTCATTCACGAGAGATGGAATACACGCAGCAAAAAAGTGTCAATCAAGAAGGCAAGAGTTGGTACGGTTACACCTATAGTGTTTGCCGTGGCAGCTGTCAAACGCTTGGCCAAGGTTCGGTTCTTGGGGGGGGGAGGACGAAGAGGGGCCGCAACCTGTGAACAGATTATTTTATACTGTTGAGGTGTCAGATTCAAATCATGAGCGTGCAGTGAACTGTTTTATTAACTGCCAACCCAACCGAGAAACAGGTAGTTAGTCGCTGACGTGCTATAAATACGTTCGGCGTGGCCTTTCGGTTGGTGAAATCAATATTGAGCTTGTGATATAATTATATCATACAAACCATGTATTGTTTATATATTATGTACATATCATGTATATTAAGTTATGCTGTCCGACGCGTGTGCCTTTCGGCGGCAGTTCGCCTTGACCCACTTGATCGTTGACTAAAGCTCAGCACATTGTGTAAACGGTAAATAGATAGAAATAAAACAAATATGAAACGCTGCAAAGACTGCCCATAAAACTTTGGGCAAGAACAGCCATTGCGCTATCTGGTGTCGCAGCTGTCCTAGTTGTCACACGTTGTTGACTTGATTTTACAGTTTCACAGCTAGAGTCACGAGCTAAAAACTCGGACACAGTTTAATGCCGCACGATCATTGAAAGACCTATGAGAGGTACTCACCGGTTTAGACATATTTTATCGGCATCACTGAACTATCCGATGTGTTTTGTGAAACTGCCGCGGTGCCGTTGTTCGGTCACGGGATTCTAGAACAAATATCATTGGCTGATGCAGCAATGATTTGCTTGGAATGCTGAATGCACCTTCACCGTCATTGGCCTTTTAAAACCTACTACCGACTCCTGCCCAAAACTCGTCAATGGCGTCTCACCACGACGTGGGAAAACAAACTTGATCGTTTCTTCCTGCATCAAGGAGCCGCTCGCTTTGCATGGTCGTTTCTCCCTCTTGATAACTTGAACTTGCTGCACATCCATCATTTCAGTTCCTCTGCTGTAGAACACCCTGCCGGTGAACTTGCCCAATTGGTTCACTTCCTGTTGTCTTTTTGTACCATAAAATATGCTTCCACATAAAGTCATGCGTGGTGTAGCTTCTAGACTATTTTCAAAGCCTGAAACTCAGCTTTCACTGGTACGAATAGGCCGACGTCTTTTTAAATTCATAAACCTGACACTCGTACAAAATTTTCCTGACTTCTGTTTCTTTAACTCCTTATGCGTCAGTGTCTAAGTTTTCACTGTTGATAGGAGTTTTTGTTCTATTGCGATAAATTCTACAAATTAAATATCAAAGATCTGAAGTACCTCTTTTAGACACAGAAAGATTTTTTTGGTGCCACTTTCCGTCTGTTTCGATCAACTGCATTTTTCTGAAAATTAGGGGCATTTTACATTTTTCATAGTTACCATTAGACGGGTAGCAAAGTAAAACAAAAATTTTATTACACAGTAAGTACTCTGTTAGTATTTCAATGTCATGACACGTATTTGAATATTTCAACAAGTATTTTTCATCAATCACGAGTTCCCAACACCTAAAGGCCTATGGTCAACGGCACAAACAGCTAAATGTACTGAAATCAGTTTCTATACATGCCATCATAAATTACCGTCGAAATGAAACAAAAGCGAAATCATCACCGAAAAGCACTCCAGTCCGCGACCGTAACCAATCAGCTGCTCCAGCAGTCGATTGATCGAGCAATCGATCAATCAATCGGGTTTTGCTTACATGGACAGCACCAGTACTCAGCATCATGTTCAATGAGAACTTACAAAATGCAGTTGAGAAAAAACTGTAAACATTTTCAGAGACTCAGCGCTACGACTTGAAGTGGTATGCAACCAGACTCGTTCCCTTTCGGCTATCTGTGATACTGGAAGAATGGGGCGGGGATACACGGAG